TACGTCTCCTTCTCCGTTTCCTCCTCCGTCTCCTCGTCCGTGTCCTTTTCCTCCTCATGTGTGCGGTTGCTTGTGTCCTTGTCCTCCTCCTCTTCCTCCTCCTCCTCCTCCTCTTCCTCCTCCTCGTCCTTCTCCTCCTACTCCTACTCTTCCTCCTCCTCATGTTCCTCTCATCATCTCATGTTCCCTCCTCCTCCTCCTCCTCCTCCTCACCCTCCTCCTCATCCTCATCCTTACCCTCATCCTCATCCTCCTCCTCTCCCCCCTCCTGTTCCTCCTTCTCCTCCTTTTCCTCCTCCGTCTCCTCCTTCCCTCATGCGTATCAGCCTCATCCTCCTCCTCCTCTCCTCCTCCTCCTCCTCATCATCATCATCATCATCATCATCAATCCTGCTCCTCCTTCTTTCCTTTTCTTCCTCCTCCTCCTCTGTTCCTTCTCTTCTTCCTCCTCCTCCTCCCCCTCCTCCTCCTCCTCGTCTCCTCCTCCTCCTTCCTCCTCCTCCTCCTCCTCCTTCCTCCTCCTGTTCCTCCTCCTCTTCTTCCTCCTCCCCCTCTTCCTCCTCCTCCTTGTCCTCCTCCTCCTCGTCCTCCTCCTCCTCCTCGTCCTCCTCTTTTCTCCTCCGCCTCCTCTTCCTCCCTTGTCTCCCTTTCCTTCTGTTCCTCCCTTTCCTCCCGTTCCTTCCTTTCCTCCCTTTCCTCCTTTCCTCCCCTCCCTTCCTCCCTTTCCTCCCTTTCCTCCCGTTCCTCCTTTTCCTCCCCTTCCTCCCTTTCCTCCTTTTCCTCCTCCTCCTCCTCCTCCTCCTCCTCCTCCTCCGCCTCCTCCTCCTCCTCCTCTTTCTCCTCCTCCGCCTCCTCCTGGAGTCGTGTACACCATCCTCGTCCTACTTCTCCTCCGTCTCCCCTCCCCTCCTCCGTCCTCCTCGAACCCTGAACCTCGCTCACCCTCGATCATCATCCCCTTTCCTTTCTTTCTCCAGGGTACCTTCCCTGACCTAGATATTTCAATAACTTCTTGGAGCTTAATTCTGCTGATTCGATCGCCCGTATACCAAGAAGCGTGATCAGTGATCTTCCTCCGTCTCGCCATCCTCCCCCTCCTCCTCCTCCTCCTTCTCCTCCTCCTCCTCCTCCTCCTCCTCGTCCTCCTTCTCCTCCTCCTCCTCCTCCTCCTCCTCCTCCTCCTCCTCCTCCTCCTCCGTTTCCTCCTCCTCCTCCTCCTCCTCCTCCTCCTCCTCCTGCTCCCGCTCCTCATCCCGCTCCTCCTCCGCCTCCTCCTCCTCCTCCTCCTCCTCCTCCTCCTCCTGCTCCTCCCAACTGAACCATCGGCCCCAGACATCTCCAGGCGTGCTTTCTGGCCAGCAAGGCGACGGGAGGTTTTTGGGAGGCCCGAAAAGGTCAACATCAGAGTCCGAAGTTCGAGTTCCTTCCCCCCAGAAGCTTGGTATGCTTACCCCCACGTGGTTTCCCACAGAACTGGACCCCATTCTGGGGGGCCGTTCTTCCTCCCAAGCAGACTTTTGGCGGCCTAGGGGCCATCAAGGGCTTCGGGAGGCCGAACTTCGGCGAAAATTGTCCCTCGTGGTTTTTGTCACGACTCGAGGATGCATGAAGAGGAGGAGGAGAAGACAAGGAGATGGGCAAGGAAGGGATGAGGAGGAGCAGGACGAGGAGGAAGGAGGAGGAGCGAGAGGGACGAGCAGGACAAGGAAGAGGAGTCGAGTCCAGGAGGAGGGAGGAGGAGGACCAGGGTAAACCCAAGACGTTTCACCGATATTGCAATACACCCTCCCTCCAAGTTCCCTCTTCATAGGTCCCTGAAGGAATTAATTTCCACTGCAGGAAGTGACCCATTAGAAGACAACCGTCTGAGATCCTTCATCGTATCAAAGCACAGTTGCTGGGACGTCAGCGCCGCAGAACAACACGGCTGTTTCGTCTTGACAACCCAACATCGTACCAGAACTCAGTTCTTGGGACCTCCACGCCCCGAATCAACATGACTATAAGGTCCTAGCAGACCTAAGTCGTGCCAGAACACAGTTCTGGGACTTCGACCGTACGAATACTTGAGACTGTTGGAAACATTTGAAAAAGAATGCGTGCGGCGCTCAGGCGAGAGCCACACTTTGAAAAGGGACCGCCCTCCACCTTCGAAACCGTTGCAACAAGTTCTAAGACGAATGCGTGCGGCGCTAGGGCGAGAGCAGCATGTTGAAAACCACCCGCCCTACATCCTTGGGATGTTGCTGTAAATAACGTCACCGGTCCGTCTCTGCCGCGTCCTGCCACGGAGTGCACGGGTCACTCGAGCGATGTCGTGGTCGCATCTCTGTCCGATTCATCCCCTCTGCTTTCCTCCTTCTCCTCCCAAAAGATGCGCTGGAACGAACAACATCCTCGAGTTGTTGCAAACGTTGAAGACGATGCGTGCGGCGCTGCGGCGAGAGCCACGTGCCGCCGCGCCGCTTGTTCCCACGCGCGGCCCTACGTCGTGGGGAGGGCAGCTCGGCCACCGGGGCAGACGCCGCCTCGGCCGCGGTGGGTTCGCCGTGGGCTTGCTGCGGTGCCGGCGTCGTCTACTTGGGCGCGGGGCGCAGGGCTCGCCGTGGGTTTGCCGTGGTGTCGGCGTCGTCCACTCGGGCGCGTCGGGGACAAACGGCGCGGCGGCACATCTGAAAGCCGGCCGCGGTGGGTTCGCCGTGGGCTTGCTGCGGTGCCGGCGTCGTCTACTTGGGCGCGGGGCGCAGGGCTCGCCGTGGGTTTGCCGTGGTGTCGGCGTCGTCCACTCGGGCGCGTCGGGGACAAACGGCGCGGCGGCACATCTGAAAGCCGGCCGCGGTGGGTTCGCCGTGGGCTTGCTGCGGTGCCGGCGTCGTCTACTTGGGCGCGGGGCGCAGGGCTCGCCGTGGGTTTGCCGTGGTGTCGGCGTCGTCCACTCGGGCGCGTCGGGGACAAACGGCGCGGCGGCACATCTGAAAGCCACCCACCCTCCATCCGTGAAGCTGGTGCAAGAGTGTCAGACGAGTGTGCGCGGCGCGATGGCGAGAGCCACAGTTTGAAAACGATTCGCCCTCCATTCGTGCAACGGTTGCAAAATTGTAAGACGAATGTGCACGGCGCGATGGCGAGAGCCACAATTTGAAAACGATTCGCCCTCCATCCGTGAAACGGATCCAGAAACGATATCCAGGCGAGTTGAGGTGATCAGGGAAGTGCGGGAGCAAAGAGGGGGGCGGCCGAACCGTGCGAAGGAGGGAGGAAGAGGAGGAGGAGGAGGAAGAGAGAGGGCGAACAGAAGAGGGAGTCTGCTCTGGTTCTGCCCTAGTCAAGGACGTGGGGGGAGCATGCAGAGTGACAAAAGACTGGAGAAGCCGTCGGCCCCTCAAGAGGGGGAAGAAGGAGGAGGAATCGTCGTCGGAGGAAGAGGCGAAGCAAGGGGAGGCGGAGGAGGGCGAGGAGGATAAAGGAAGAGGAGAAACTTGACGAGGACGAGGAGGAGGAGGAGGAGGAGGAGGAGGAGGAGGTGGGGGAGGGGGAGGAGAGAGAAGAGGAAGGAAGAGGAGTAGGATGAGGAGGCTGATACGCAGGAGGGCAAGGAGGCGTAAAAGGATGAAGATTAGGATGAGGATGAGGAGGAAGAAGTGGGGAGGGGGAGGAGAGAGGAGGGAGGATGTGGAGGAGAAGGCTGATAAGGAGGAGGATAAGGAGGAAAAGGAGGAGGAGAAAGAGGGCGAACAGAAGAGCCATAAGCCTCTTGAGTGACTCTCGGAGTCTCCTCTGGTTTCTCTTGGAAGTGAAAAGGAAGGAGGAGGAGGAGGAGGAGGTGGAGGAGGAGGGAGGAGGAGGAGGAGGATGGTGGAGGAGGAGGAGGAGGCGAGGGAGAGAGAGGAGAGGAAGGAGGAGGAAGGAGGAGGGGAGGAGGAGGAGGAGGAGGAGGAGGAGGAGGAGGAGGAGGAGGAGGCGGATAAGGAGGAGGAAGAGGAGGAGAAGGAGGAGGAGTAGGAAAACATGACGACTTGAAGAGCCTCCTCGGATGTCTCTTGTGTTCTTTGGGGGGGGGCCTCTTGGAGCGTATGGGGGGCATCGTGGGTGCCTCGGGGATCCTCTTGAAGCCTCTTGGAGGCCTCTTGGGCGCCTCTTGGGGCCACCTGGGCGCCTCTTGGGGCCCTCTTGGGGCGCTCTTGGGAGCCTTGGACACGCTCTAGGGGCCATCTTGGAGGACATCGATCAAAGAGGGGGGGGCCCTAATTAGCGCTGCCCCTCGGGAGCCCCAAAAGTCGCCTCTTGGGGCGCTCCTGGAGCGCTCTTGGGCGCTCTCGGGGCCGTCTTGAGGCTCTCGTGGGCCCCTCTTGGGACCCTCTTGGACCATCTTGAGGCATCGGATGGCCATCGGAAGCGAAAAGGCGAGAAGGCAATAATCAGTGATGTTCCTTAGGTTTTGGAAGGATGTTGGTCTCTTGGAGGCCTCCTTGGATGTCGCGGAGGCCTCTTGGAACCTTCTTGGAGCATCTTGGAAGCCATCTGTAGGCATCTCGGGCTATCCTGAGCCATCTTGGAGGTCATCTTGGGCTCTCAGAGGCCTTCTGAGAGCCATCTTGGGCCATCTTGGACGCTCTGACCGCTCGCGACCGCCCCCATCCAGGTTCAGGGGAGGGGGTGGGGGGGAGGGGTAAACCCCTCCCAGAAGGGGAAGAAGGGGGTTGGAAGAGGGCATTCTCTAGACCACCTACGCCCAGAGGGCTGGTGGGATTTCAAGCGTCAGGATCACGAATGGCGAGGACGCCTCACGCGAAACGCCCGGCCCGCCCTACCACCAGGTCTGGGCGTGCGACAAGGAGGAGCTCTACATAAGCAAGAGGGAGGAGGAGGAGGAGGAGGAGGAGGAGGAGGAGGAGGAGGAGGAGGAGGAGGACGACGACGACGACGACGACGACGGCGACGAGGTCAGGGTCCCCCGTCGCTCCTCCCACGTTCCTGCCCCCCCCCCGCCACCGTCCCAGTCTGCCGAAGACGGCTCTTCGCCTTCGCCATATGCCGAGGGCCGTGCCCCGGCCCCGCAGCCCGCGCCCGCGAGCGGGGACGGCGGCCCCGCAGCGCCTCTGGCGCAGCCGCCCGCCGCCCCCCTGGCACAGTCGCTGTTCGGCGAGGCGCCTGAACACACCTCCTCCTCCTCCTCCTCCTCCTCCTCCTCCTCTTCCTCCTCCTCCTCCTCCTCCTCCTCCTCCTCCTCCTCACTCCTCCTCCTCCCCCCTCCCTCCTCCTCCTCCTCCTCCTCCTCCTCCTCCTCCTCCTCCTCCTCCTCCTCCTCATCATCATCATCATCAGCAGCATCATCCTTCGGTTCTGCCCTTTGGGGTCTGCGAACATTATCTTCCTCATCCTCATCATCATCACCACCATCATCATCTTCAACAACGACATCATCATCGTCATCATCATCATCAACATCCTCATCCTCATCATCGCTCCTCCTCCCTCTTCGTTCCTCCTCCTCCTCATCCTCATCCTCATCCTCATCCCCATCCTCGCGTTCGAGAGAGCGCAACGGGTGATGCTCGAGGAGACAGTGCGAATGTGCTGAAGTCCCGCACGCTTGCGACGAGAACGGAGTTGAGATTGTGGTAGCGTTTGGTCCCCTCAGCTTTATCATGCGCGATGGAGGTCCAAGTCCTGGGAGCGGTGCATGCCCGATTCATCGAGCGTTGGCACATGAAGCGCAGTCGCCACAAGTTTCGCGAGCCGGCAGCGTTGCCACAAGAGGCTGAACGGCAGCATCCCCCAACGGGTCTTAGGCGCAATAATCGAAGACGCCTACGCCGAATCACCGCCGCCCCCTGCCTTTTTGGAAGCGCCTATGTGGCCAAACGTTGAGGCCAGACCTGCCAAGCTATCGGACCATGTGTTCCCCGAATCGGTTTGGAAAGCCTTCGGGGAACACGTGGGCATCTTGAAGGTCATATTGGCCGCCTGGAGACCATTTTGACCTTGTCGGGCCTTCTCGGAGGACGTCTTTGAGGGCTCTTTGGCCGTCTTGGAGGCCATCTTGAGCGTCTTGGAGACCTCTTGGGCCGTCTTGGGGGCCTCTTGGAGCCGTGTCTTGGGCCTCTTGGGCGATCTTTGGGGGCACTTGGGCCGTCTCGGGCCGTCGGAAGGCAGAAAAAAGCAAATGCCACAATCCTTCAAAAACCCATGGGAAATCAATTGGGCCGTCTTGGGCCATCTTAGGTCCATGTTCGGCCGTCTTGGTAGGCTCCTGGTCCGTCGGAAGCCGTTTTGGGGGCCTCTATGGGCCGACTTGAGGCCCTCTTGGAATGCTCCAGGGCCGTCTTGGAGGCCCATCTTGGGCGTCTTAAAGACCTCCTGTGCCGTCTTGGGGGCCTCTTGGGGCCGTCTTGGGGGCCTCTTAGGCCGTTCTGGGGCCATCTTGGAGGCCTCTTGGGCGATCTTTCGGCGATCTTCGGGGGCTCTTGGGTCGTCTCGAGCCGTCGGAAGGCCGAAAAGAAGCAAATGTCAAAATCCGCCAAAAATCTTTGGAAAATCAATGTTTTGGGCCTCTTCTGGCCTTCCTGGAGGCCCTCTTGGGGGCCTCTTGGGCAGTCTTGGGCCAGCTTCGAGCCAACTTCGGCCATCTTGGTGGGTTCCTGACACGTCTGACGCCGTCGGGAGCCCTCTTGGGGGCCTTTCTGGGCCGACTTGGGGCCCAGGTGGCAACGCAAAATCAAAGTATCTACAGGTTCAAGAATATTGCCCGGGCGGCAAGTCTGCCACGTCTCCCTACGAGGTCACGAGAGAAGTAGAGAAGATAACCCGCCGCGCCCATTGTGGCCAGTTTTCCCGCGGCTTCCCGTTGCATTGCCAACGGGCCAGTCGCGCCGCGTCTCTTGGACAGAAGAGATGGTGGGTATCGAAGACGCCTACGGCGAATCACAGCCGCTCCCTGCCTTTTTGGAAGCGCCTATGTGACCGAACGTTGAGGCCAGACCTGCCAAGCTATCGGACCATGTGTTCCCCGAATCGGTTTGGAAAGCCTTCGGGGAACACGTGGGCATCTTGAAGGTCATCTTGGCCGCCTGGAGGCCATTTTGACACTTTTGGGCGTTCTCGGAGGACGTCTTGGAGGGCTCTTGGGCCGTCGTGGGGGCCATCTTGGGCATCTTGGAGGCCTCTTGGGCCGTCTTGAGGGCCTCTTGGGGCCGTCTTGGGCCTCTTGGGCGATCTTTGGGGGCATTTGGGCCGTCTCGGGCCGTCGGAAGGCCGAAAAAAAACAAGTGCCACAATCCTTCAAAAACTCAAGGGAAATCAATGATTTTGGCCTTTTCGGGCCATCCTAGGTTTTCTAGGGCCATCTTAGTGCCATCTTCGGCCGTCTTGGTGGGCCCCTGGCCCGTCCGACGCAGTCGGAAGCCGTTTGGGGGGCCTCTCTGAGCCGACTTGGAGCCCTCTTGGAATGCTCCAGGGGCCGTCTTGGAGGCCATCTTGGGCGCCTTAAAGCCTCTTGGGCCGTCTTAGGGGCCTCTTGGGGCCGTCTTGGGGGCCTCTTGGGCCGTTCTGGGGCCATCTTGGAGGCCTCTTGGGCGATTTCTGGGCGATCTTTGGTGGCTTTGGGCCGTCTCGGGCCGTCGGAAGGCAGAAAAAAAGCAAATGACAAAATCCTTCAAAAACTGCAGGACAAATAAATATGTTTGGCCTTTTCTGGCTTTCCTGGAGGCCCTGTTGGAGGCCTCTTGGGCCGTCTTAGCCCCGCTTCGAGCCAACTTCGGCCATCTTGCCCGTCGGGAGCCGTCTTGGGGGCCTCTGAACCGACTTGGGATCCTCTTGGGGCGCTCTGGGGCCGTCTTGGAGGCCATCTTGGGCGTCTTGGAGGTCTCTTGGGCTGTCTTGGGGCCCTCTTGGGGCCGTCTTGGAGGCCACTTGGGCCGTCATGGGGCCCTCTTGCAGGCCTCGTGGGCGATGGTGGGGCGATCTTGGCGGCCTCTTGGGCCGTCTTGAGCTGTCGGAATGCCGAGAAGAGGCAAATGCCAAAATCCTTCAAAAACCAAAGGGAAATAGCAGTGCACGGTATTGTTCATTTCAGATGTCCGCTTTCCTTGCTATGTAGCCATCGCTTCTGCTCGAAGCTTCGCTTGTTATGGCAGGGCTCGCGCTCGGGCTCGCCCCTGCAGTCCGAGATTGGGCTGCGACAGGACTGTACGCTGCCAACCTTTGGACTTCTCTCCACAGGGATTGCCATTGCACGTGCGCCTTCACTGGAGAGCACGACCGAGAGCTAATTCAGGTCCTGCAACGACAGCTGGACAGGTGTGGCCCGGAGCAGCTTCGGAGCGCGCCTTCAGAGTGTCCCTCGGTCTTCTGGGAGATCGCCTCGGTCGTGTGCCTCGCGGTGCGCGCCTCGTTCATCATAGGCTACCTCACCGGCAGGCTCCATGGCCATGGTCCCTCAGGGGCTCCCCGACCTGCTGAAGACGGTCCGCCAGGGGGACAAGCTGTACTGCCTGTACAGCCTGGAGGACCGGCTGTTCCACGAGATGCTTCTGTGCGGCCACGTGGACGGCTCACGGTGGGTGGTGGCGACGCCTGATGCCGACGTGTACGTTGAAGACTTCGCCGACGAGGATCACGTGGAGATCCACCGAGCTGGCCCGCGAGGAGGAGCCCCGCCGCAGCTGCGCAAGAAGATGCTGTACCGCTTCGACCTGGACGAGCAGGCTCTGGCCGCCCTCCTGGACGAGGGGGCGCAGCTGGCGGAGTCCGAGCGCCGCGAGGCCGGCCGCGACTCAGTGGCGATGGCGCCTGGGGTGGTCCGCCGGCTCCGTGGGAAGCAGCACGCACTCCCTGCGATGGCGGACGGTGGCACGGACACGCCGCGTGGTTCCGAGGTCGGCCTGGCTGCTGGCGCATCGGAGCCGCCGCGGCCACCGCCGAGCCACGCTCCCCCGCCCCGGGCGGGCGCCGGCGGAGGGCCCCTGCCGCCGGTGCAGCTGGACGACAGCTGGGTCGCCCTGGAGTCGCGGCTGGGTTTCAGGCGGGGCTCTCCAGTGGACGTGACGTTCGCCACCGTCTACGCTCTGGACGATCGCGCCTTGGCCTCGTTCCCAGAGGGGGTCATCACGCTTGGACGAGCGGGGGCCCTCTCCGACGAAGTGCCGCCCTCGCCGCGAGACGCCCAGGAGGACGTACTGGACGAGCGTATCCTGCGGTACCGGAGGAGCGGCACTGGCCAGCGGCGTCGCGCCTTCGCGGAGGTCGTGGCTGAGCAGCGCGAGGTGCTCAGTACTCAGGAGTGGCGCGTGCATGGGGCCCGCTACCATCGGCTGGCTGCTTCAGGCACATCTGGAGCAGGGAAGCGGGCCCGTCCAGCGACACTATTGGTGGCGACAGATCCTGGGGTTGGCTGCGGCCGACCCCGGGGTCGACGAGCATTTGTTCCTGTGCGAGCTGATCCAGACGGCCTCCACGGCCGACCAGCTCAACCTCCCGGGCTGCGAGGCGTTCGAGCTGGCGGCCAGGCGCTTCCAGCTTTGGGAGGAGGTGTACTCTGAGGCACTGCGCCAGGTCGAGGTCGCGGGCACCGCGGGGGCCACTCCCGACTCGGACGGCTGGCTGGACGAGCGCAGGATCTTCCTCGGGGGCACCCGCCCCAAGGGGCATGCTCTCGCGTCGCCGTCCCTGGAGAAGCACGTGGCGGAGAGGATGCAGGAGGAGAGCGCCATCCTGAAGGAGCGGCGCAAGGGCAGAGAGGAGCGCCGCATGGCACGCGGTGTGAGCAGCAGCGGCGCCGACGTCGCACCAGGAGGAGGCGATCAGGGTGGCGGCGGCGGCGGCGCTGGCGGCGGCGGCGGCCCGAGCGGCCGAGGCCGTGGCGGCCGCGGCCGCGGGCGGGCCTTGCCCGCCGCCAGTTTTTCGGCTTGCGCGCGGCCGCTGCAGCCCCCCGGGCAGCGGACGCATGCTCAGGGGAGGGCCGCCACTGCGGCGGTGATGGCGGCCTCGGCGCAAGGAGTCTCGGACACTGGCGTGGCGCGCGACGTCCTGCCGCCCCCGCTGGGCGCGACGCTCGACGAGCTGCTGCATGGGGCGGCGGCCCGCCTTCTGCCGCATGGCGGCGGACGGCGCGGGCGGCAGCGCCGGCATCAGGAGGTCTGGCTGCGCGAGGGCATCGCTGCGCTGAACGACCTCGGCGGCCGCGGGGAGGACACTCCTGTGGGGGCCCCAGCGGCATGACAGGTTGCCGCCGTGCGGCGCCTCGCGCAGCTCTACGGCAGGGTGGGGCCGCCGCCATCCGACATGACTCCCCTGGGGGCGTGGCAGACGCTCCAGGCTTCGCGGAACGGCTATGCAGACGTCATGGCCGAAGGTGCTTCGACAACCTACAGGAAGGGGGCCATGGCGCTCCCGCGGGCTGCGGCAGGGCGAGTTCGGCTTGTTGACGTGCTGCCGCCGCACCTGCAGTCTCTCCTGTCTGATTCGTCGCAGATGTTACGAGAGCCTGAGGCTCGCAATTTTGCTTTGGGTGAGGCCCCCAGGGTCTGTGCCATGGACCCAGTGCTGCAGCGGCACGGCTACCAGTTCGGCGAGTGCCTCTCCGAGCTGCTCTCCGCGGGCATCATCGAGCGCGCGGCCGAGGGCAGCATCATCGAGCGTGCTGGCATCTTTTTCGTCCCAAAGAAGGACTCGTCGTTACGGCTGATCTTCGACACCCGGAGGTCCAATGCCCATTTCCAGGACCCGCCCTACACACTGCTCGCGAGCGGGGAGGCCCTGGCGAACTTGGAGGTTGACGCCGCTGAGGGGGTCGCTGTGGCCTCTGGCGACGTCGAGTGCTGCTTCTACCAGTACGAGCTGCCAGCGTGGGCACGTGCCTTCTTCGGTTTGCCAGCGGTCCAAGCACGTTTTTTGGATCCAGCGGCCCGTCAGCAGCTCGGGGTTTCTGATCTTTCGGAGATGATCCATTTCGTTGCCAGAGTGGTCCCCATGGGCTGGTCGTGGGCCGCGCACCTCATTCAGGAGGCCCACGCGCACGTCCTGAGCACCATCAGCTCGGAGGCGCCCTGGATCGCTGACAAGGTGCCCACGCCGGCGCTCGGGGCTCAATGTTCCACCGCCAAGATGCTGTATATGGACAACGTCGCAGTCTTTACTTCAGGCAACGGCGACCCCACCCTGGAGGTGGAGCGCATGTTGGCCGCGCTCAGTGCGCGGGGCATTCAGGCCTCCTTCGACCGCGCTGATGGGGACCTGCACACCCTGCTCGGCTTCGTGCTGCACAAGCCCTCAGCCACTTGGCGTCTTTCGCACAGCAAGTTTTGGCGGCTGAAGTTCAGCCTCGATTTTGTGCTCACGCCTGGACGCCTCGTCACGGGGCGCGAGCTCGAGAGGCTGATGGGCCATATCACCGCTGCCGTCATGCTGCAGCGGCACATGCTCTCGCTCTTCCATGCGATCTATAAGTTCTGCAGGCGCTCGCGTGACAAGCGGCAGCCACTCTGGTCATCGGTGAGGCGGGAGCTCTCCTGGTTCAGAGCGCTACTTCCTTGCGTGACAGTCTCGCTCAGCCGACCCTGGTGCGAACGTGTCACTGCCACCGACGCCTCGCCATGGGTTTGGCGTCGTGGAGCAGCCGTGGCCCGTCGGTGAAGTTCGGCGAATTGGCAGCCTCTCTGAGCGCAGCCGCTTTAGAGGGGTCCTGACTGCCGACTACGCCCCCAGGGACACGCTGGTCGAGCAGCAGCTCCTGCACGCCTCGGCTGCCGACGTCACCGCGGAGGGCACCTTGACGCACTTCGAGGAGGTGCCTGCAGCGCGACTCTTGGCCGACCCTTGGGCGTTCGCGGCCGCGCGCCGCTGGCGGCGGGCCGCGGCCTTCCATGTCCTGGAGGCTGAGGGAGCGCGCTGGGCTGTGCGGCGCCTTGCTCGCAATTCGCAGCTGCACGGACATCGGCACCTCATCCTGGGTGACAATCTCGGGGTGGCATGCGCATGTGAAAAGGGCAGAGCGGCACACTTTGCTCTCAATGTCGTCTGTCGGGAGATCTGCGCCATCTCAATCGCCTCCGGGATGCAGCTCAGGTTCAGGTGGATCCCATCAGAGCTCAACCCTGGAGACGCTCCCTCTCGCAGGTTCATGCCAGGCGCGGGGAAGCACCACGTCGTCGGACAATGCGGTACACCCTCAGGCGGGGATGAGCAAGGCACACAGCAGGCTGGGCCTCTATCCGGAGCCATCGGCTCGAGGGAGCACAACCATGCCAGTGACGGCCTACTGGGTCAACCCCGTCTACGGCAAGCGCGCCCGCGATGCAGCGGAGCCCAGGCCGGCGCCGACCACCCGGCGCGCCTCCGGCTCGCGCGGCGGGCACGGGCTACCAGGCCCTTCGGGCTCCCGCCGGGGCTGGACATCCCCAGCGCCGCTGAGCGACAGGCCCGCAGAGGTCTGTGCGCGACGGGCACGGCTGTGTCCGCGGCTCTCGCGACTGGCAGCTCGTCGGGTGCGACACGCCACCGAGCTCTCGTACCTGCGGGCGCTGACCATGCTCTTGGGCAGGCTACGGCTGCTGGCGCTGCCGAGCTGGACCTCCGCGCAGTGGGACGAGACGCTGGTGGACTACTCCGAGTGGGCCTTCGACCGCGGCATGGGCCGGGAGGCGTTCTCGCGCACCCTCTGTGCCGTGGCTTGGGGAGAGCCCGCGCTGGGAGGTCCCGTGCGGCGCCTCTTTCCCGCGGCGCACGCGTCGCTGTCAGGCTGGACGCGCCTCCAGCCGGGACATTCCCGCCCGCCATTGCCGCGGGCGCTCGCCCTCGCGATGGCTGCCGTGCTGGTCTCGATGGGCAAGCCGGACTCGGGCTGTGCATCTTGGTGGCCTTCGAGTGCCACCTGCGCCCGTCGGAGGCCGCGACCTTGCTGGCCAAGCAGCTGCTACCAGGCAGGTGCAACGAGGTCGGGGTGCTTCAGCACCCGCTCCTGATCCTGCATCCAGAGGAGCTCGCTACCAGCTCCAAGACGGGCGAGTTCGACTCCACAATTGCGTTCGACCTGCCTCGACATCACTGGATTGGGCGTGCTGCCGTGCGGCTGCAACGGCTTCGACGCGAGGACGAACTCCTGTTTCAGATCTCGCACCCTCAGCTCCTGTCCGACTTCCACGCTGCCTGTCAGTACCTCAAGCTCGAAGGTTTGGGCTTCTCGCCGCACTGCCTGAGGCACGGCGGCGCGACTCACGACCGCGCCGCAGGTTGCCGTTCACTGCTGGAGGTTCAGGGGCGAGGAATGTGGAGGGCGGCGTCATCTGTTCGGAGGTACGACAAGGCCGGGCGACTGGCGCTGGTCATGCGGAACCTCAGCCACGCCCAGAGGAGAGGCTGCGAGGTCTGGGCGGCAGCCGCCCCGCGGCTCTTCGACAACGCCTACGTGCTGCCCTCCGCGCCGGCCGCCTTGGCGAGCGGCGGGCCTTCCTCGACCTCTTCTCAGGCTCGGGTGGCCTCGCCGCGGAGCTGAAGAAGAGGGGGCATGCGGTTGTTTCAATCGACGTGCTTCTAGGGCCCGATTGCGACATGCTCCAAGATGATGTCTTCCGCACTCTTCGAGGCTGGCTTGAGTCAGGCATCATCTGGGGCATGTTTTCAGGCAGCCCGTGTGAAAAATGGTCTCAGGCTCGCAGGGCTCCGCCGCACAGCGTCATGCCTCGACGCTTGCGAACTAAGGAGCACCTTCGAGGCCTTCCGAACTTGGAGGGGGCCGACTATCACGATGTCGTCACCTCAAACAAGCTGGCCGACCGAATCGCTCTGCTGCTCGGCATCGCCCTGAGACGCCAGCTGCCAGCGGGAGAGGAAAATCCTGCGTCCAGTCTGCTGTGGCTGCTTCCCAGCCGCCAGCGTTTCCATTCTCACGCTAATGTTCAGACAGTGGTCTTTGATTATTGCGGCGCTGGCCGCCCTTTCCGAGCTCGCACTCGTATGGCTCTCGCCAACATATCTGTTCCGCCAGAGCTGTACACTTGGCACTGTAAAGGTAGGGGGGTCTGCACGTTTTCTGGCAAGCCGCACCTTGTTCTGTCTGGTAAGTCCAAGGCCGGCTTCCTTACTCATCTTAAGGCGTCCTACCCCCCTCGCCTGTGCTTTGTGCTCGCTCGAGAACTTTCTCACAGCTACGTGTCCCTGCGGGCCAGCCGCCTATGGAATTTGATGCGGTAATCCAGTACATTGCTTGAAGACGGGGTTTTGATTCATGAGGATGGGTTGTGTGGGACAAACTGCCCACGCGACATGTTGTCTTCGCCTCAGCATTTCTCTGGAAAACAAGAATGAACATAGCAGTGCACGGTATTGTTCATTTCAGATGTCCGCTTTCCTTGCTATGTAGCCATCGCTTCTGCCCTCGCCAGCCCAAAGCCTATTTAATTGTAGCGTTATCTGCGGGTTGTGTGGGACAAATTGCCCACGCGACATGTTGTCTTCGCCTCAGCATTTCTTTGGAAAAACAAGAATGAACATCATGATTTTGGCCTCTGCGGGCCCTCTTTGAGCACCTCTTGGAGGCCTATTTGGCCGTATTGAAGCCTCTTGGGCCGTCTTGGGCCATCTTGAGGCTATCCTACGCCACCTTGGGTACATATTGGGCCGTCTTGGAGGCATTTTGGGGCCATCTTAGCCGTCTTGGAGGCCATCTTGGGCCGTCGTGGAGCCGTCTGGACCAGGAAAAACCCTTTGGAGCCGGGTCCAGGCAAATTTTCGGCATCCTTGCGGGTGGCCAGCGGGACGCGCCGGAGCCCCAGGGGGAGTTCTTTTGGAAAAAGAACCAAAAACCAAAACCAAGAACGATTGGATTCAGCACGCCAGGCACCCGTCTTGCAAGCAACAGGGGGCGGCGGATCCAGCTGCCTGCGGCAAGTCCCGCCACTGTGCCAGCCCAGCATTATGGGTGGCGATTGTTCGAGAGGGCGCGGGAGGCCGTCACGTGTGACACCTCGCGTCTCCAGGCTTGAGAGTCGTGATGAGGATGATGAGGAGGATGATGATGATGATGATGATGGTGATGATGATGATGGTGATGATGATGATGGTGATGATGATGATGCCGTTTGTGATGATGGTGATGATGATGATGGTGATGATGATGATGGTGATGATGATGATGCCGTTTGTGATGATGATGATGATGATGATGATGATGATGATAATGGTGATGATGGTGATGGTGATGATGGTGATGGTGATGGTGATGGTGGTGCTGATGATGCTGATGCTGATGATGGTGATGGTGGTTACGATGAGTACGGTTATGATGGTGGTTGAAATGATGATGATGATGATGGTGATGGTAATGGTAATGGTGATGGTATTGATAACGATGATACGAATGATTGTGATACTGTGTGTTGGTCATATGATAACATGGTGATGACGATGATGATGAGTATGATGGTGGAGATGATGATGGTGATGGTGATGACGGTAATGGAGATCATGATGATGACGATGATGATTATGATGATGGTGACTGTGGTGGTTGTGATGACGATGGTGAGGAGGAAGAGGAGGATCATGAAGATTTATGATGATTATGAGTATGATGACGACGACGACGATACTGGTGATGGTGGTAGTAATTAACGGTGATGGTGATGATAATGGTGATGGTGATGGCGATGGTGATGGTTGTGGTGGTGATGATGCGGATTGTGTTGATAGTGGTGATGATAAGGAGAGTGGTATTGATGAGTATGGTGATGATGATGGCGGTGATGCTGATGATGATGATGATGGTGATGATGATGGCGATGGTGATGGTGATGGTGATGGTGATGGTAGTTGTGGTGGTGAGGAGGAGGAGGATAAATAACAGGAGGAGCAGAATGAGGAGGCGAAGTTGCAGCAGGAGGAAGAGGAAGGCTGTCTCATGTGACGCCGTTCGTCGTCATGGTTTGCAGAATCCTCACCTCATAGAACTCGTGTTGGCAGTCTTAGGTTTGCCTTGGCCTCATGTGAGGCAGTCTTGGTGCTGTCGTGGGCCGTATTGGGGCTCTTCTACGCCGTCTTGGGGCTCTCTTGGGCCGCTTTGGGGCCCTCTTGGCCGTATGGTGGGTGCCTGGGGGCCGTCGTGGGGCCGTCTGGGCGCCGCCTTGGGCCGTCGATGAGCCCTCTAAGGTCGTCGTGGGTCCCACGACAGGCCCTCTTGGGCCGTCTTTGGCAGTTTGGAATGTTTCTTGGGCCATCGTGGAGTCTTCTCGGTCCAACTTTGGGACCTCTTGGACTGTATTGGGGCCCTCGTGCAGGCTTCTGGGGCCGTCTTGGGCTGACGGCATCCTGAAAAGAGCAAGAATGCAAAAAAGAGCACTCGAAAACCCAAGGGGCATCAATGAGTTTGGTTTCTTCAGACCTTGTTCGGGGTCCTCTTATGGCATTGCGGGCCCCCTTGGAGGCATCCTGAGTCATCTTGCAGGCACGAAAATGCGAGAGTTGCACGAGCCTCGAGCGGGTACGCGTGGGATGGGAGGCCCAGGAGTTCGCAGCCGTGCGGGCAGTGCACAATCCTCGAACGGGAGCGCATGGAGTGAGGGATCGGACAACAGCTGCCACGCGGGAAATACACCATCCTCGGGCGGGCGCGCGTGGAACGGGGGTTTGAGCATCGCCTGCCATGCTGGAAGTGCACCGTCTTCGAGCGGGCACGAGGGAAGTGGCCTCGGGATAACGGGGGGATGCATGCAGCTGCCCGCGACTGGGAGGAGGGGGGGCCCTCAGTAGAATGCAAAAAATCCTACCAGGCAGCACTTGGCATTCTGCCACGCCTCAACGTGCCAGGGGACACGGTGGCGGAGATTCGAAATTTGCTGAGGAGGAGGAGGAGGACGACGACGACGACGCGAACGACGACGACGACGACGACGACGACGACGACGACGACGACAACGACGAGAACGACGGCGACGACGACGACGGCGGCGACGACGACGACGACGATGACGACGACGACGACGAAGATGTACGGAGCAGGGGTGCCCAGCCGCATGCCCCTTGCCCGGCCTCCCCTGCGACAGGCCACCCCGAGTGCCGCCCACCCCCCGCGCACCACCATGGTCGACGCCAAGCAGCAGTCCAAGACGCGCCCTCCTAACCCTTCTCCGCCGCCTCTGCCAGCGGCGGGCAGCGCCCACTGCGACAGGATTGGGGCCCGGCTCTCCTTCCCCTTGTTCGATGTCCTTCCCCGCCTGTGTTTCAGACTCCGCGTCTCCATCCCCACCCCGCCAATTACGTTCGCATGGCGGTGCCAGCCTCCCCAAGAACTGGGAAAATCTGGAGACATCTTGGCACAATTCGTTCCAGAGCTTACTCGTTCGTAACGCAACGCGATCGGGTGACAACACACACACACACACCGCGTGCCACCAGCACGTGCCAGCAGCATGTGGCAGCAGCACGTGCAAGCATCAGGTGTCAGCCTCGCGCCCCCCAGCACGTGCCAACGGCGCGCGTCTGGCCGGTAGCACGAATCCGTTGAGGGGTTGTTGGCCAGGGCGGGGCGCTGTCTAGCAACCCCCCATGGCAGGCTGCGAGTTGGGGTGTCCCCCGTTGGCAGTTCCCCGGCTTATCCACGAACCGCCGGAGGAATGGTCAATGGCGGCCCGTTCGCAGACTTAGCATTCTCGTCAGCGATCCTCCTTCTCCTCCTCCGCTCCCTCCTCCTCCTCCTCCTCCTCCTCGTCATCATCATCAGCATCATCATCACCATAACCCTCATCCGCATCAGCATCAGCATCATCGTTATCATCATGTTCATGATCATTAGCAGCATCAGCATCGTCAGAATCAGCAACACCATCAACATCACCAGCATCATCATCATCATCATCATCAGCATCATCAGTATCATCAGTATCATCATTATCATCATCATCATCATCATCATCATCATCATCATCATCATCATCATCGGCATCACTACCATCATCAGCAGCATCATCATCATCACCATCAGCTGCCTCATGCTCATCAACCTCAGCCATATCCTCCCCCTCCTTCTCCTCCTCCTCCTCCTCCTCCCCATCCGCCTCCTCGTTCCTCAACTTCGTCCTCCTCCTGCTACTACTGCTACTGTGACTGTTACTGCTACTACCACTACCACCACTACTACTAGTACTACTACTACTACTACTACTACCACTACTACTACTACTACTACTACTACTACTACTACTACCACTACTACTACTACTACTACTACTACTACTACTACTACTACTACTACTACCACTCCTACTACCACTACTACTACTGCTACCAACAACTACTACTGCTACTACTACTCTACCACTACTACTACTACTACTACTACTACTACTACTACTACTACTACTACTACTACTACTACTACTACTACTACTACTACTACTACTACTACTACTAGTACTACTACTACTACCATTACTACTGCTACTACTACTACTACTACTACTACTACTACTACTACTACTACTCTACTACTACTACTACTACTACTACTACTACTACTACTACTACTACTACTACTACTGCTACTACTACTACTACTACGACTACTACTACTACTACTACTACTACTACTACTACTACTACTACTACTACTACTACTACTACTACTACTACTACTACTACTACTACTACTACGACTACTACTACTACTACCCTTTCTACTACTACGACTGCTGCTACTACTACTACGACCACGAGGCTACGGATAGCATCACTATTACCACCTATACGACCACCTGTGGGTGATAAGGAGGTTCGGGGGGGAGGAACCAACGTCTCACTCGATCGGCCTCACTATCGCTTTCACGATCGATCTCACTATCGGTCTCGCTCGATTGATCTCACTCGATCGATCTCACAATCGATCTCACTCGATCTATTTCATTCGATCGATCTCACAATCGATCTGACTAAATCTCACAATGGATTTCACTATCGATCCCACAATCGATCTCACAGACGATCTCACATTTGGTCTCACTATCGATATCACAATCGATCTCACAATCAGCGTCATCACCATCATCATCAACATCATCATCATCAACGTCATCAACGTCATCATCGGGACTCCATCATCATCACCTCATCACCAACATCACCACCATCATCATCATCAGCATCATCATCGGGACACCATCATCGTCACCATCATCATCATCAACATCAGCATCATCATCATCATCGGGACACCATCACCATCATCATCGGAGCACCAACATCATCGTCATCGCATCACCACCATCATGAACAACCTCATCAAAATCATTATCGGGACACCATCATCATCATCATCAGCAACTGCATCATCATCAGAATTACCATCATCAGGACACCATCATCATTATCACCAGCATCATCATCGGGACACCATTCTTATCATCAACATTAGCATCATCATCATCACCATCATCGGGCCACCATCATCAAAATCATCATCATCACCTCATCATCAACATCATCATCATCGGGACACCATCATCGTCATCATCATCATCATCAACATCATCATCACTGGGACACCATCATCATCATCACCATCATCACCAACAGCATCATCATCAACCTCATCATCATCACCATCACCAGGACACCATGATCATCATCATCTTCACCATCATCATCATCATTTCATCATCATCACCATCATCACCAACACCATCATGATCATCAAAGTAATCATCATCATCATCTGGACACCATCATCATCATCACCATCATCAGCAACATCCTCATCATCAACATCATCATCATCGGGACACCATCGTCATCACAAACATCATCATCATCATCAACATCAACATCGTCAACATCATCGTCATCATCGGGACACCGACGGGACACCGGCGGGACACCGGTGGGACACCGCGGGCCACTGGCCCCCGGAAAGGAATCATTTGGTCCGGCCGCGCCTCATCCGGAGGCGGGACACCGGCGGGACACCGCGGGCCACTGGCCCCCGGAAAGGAACCATTTGGTCCGGCCGCACCTCAGCC